CTCTCTCTCTCTCTCTCTCTCTCTCTCTCTCACACACACACACACACACACACACACACACACACACACACACACACACACACACACATGCGCGCGCACACACACACACATGCACACACACACACACAACACAACTACTAAAAATGAGAGAACCCCCCCCAAAGAACAGATGTCCATTATGGGTGTATCTAGACAGAGAGTTGCTTCAAAAGATAACAGCCATAATGGTGGTGCGTTCTCTTCAAGGGCCTGGAAAAGGCCATTGTCCGCCTCAAACGGGCAGGGGCCAAATGCAAAGATGATCTGGGCTGACAGGGGTAAAACAAAAATAAAATAGGGCCTGAGAAAAGTTGGCAAGTACCAGGACATTTTGCAAGGATGGACAGTCCCTGGTAGGGGTATTTTGCAAAGATGGCAGCTCCAACGGACACCAGGGGCATTTTGCAATACATTTTTTGCATCAGAGGGGTATTCCGCTCTACCCACATCTTTTAGGGGCATTTTGGCATATATCGCAACTTATAGGGGTATTTCGTAAATTATCCCAAAATTTGGGGTGCTTTTGTTAAAACACGCACACACGCGCGCGCGTGCGCGCGCGCACGAGAGAGAGAGAGAGAGAGAGAGAGAGAGAGAGAGAGAGAGAGAGAGAGAGAGAGAGAGAGAGAGACAGAGAGAGAGAGCAGATCGCGGGCCACATACCCACACACACACTGTCTGCAAATAGAGGGAAAGCTGTTTTGATTTTGGATCTAATCATCTGGGTGGAACAGGGGCTGTTGTGGTGCACATCTACAACACACGCACGCACCCCCCTCCCCCCCACCACCACCCACACACACAAACAAACAGATGAAGTGAGAGAGAAAGGGTACGCAAGTGACACAGCAGGGCAGTTTTGCCAGCACCTCATGAAGGATCTGGACTGCCTGATGAGCAGCGCACCAGAAAGCGGAAGTGAGACCATGAGATGGGATGACCACACGAACGAGCCTCGAACGAACCGAAATGTCCAAGCCACACCAGCTCAGCACTGGCCACCTACATTTCTCAAATCTCATCCTAGACACGAATCTTCCGTCCTGCCAAGTCACGAAGCTTCCATCCCGCTAAGGCCAGCCTCCACGTGGAAAAGTTGGCCCCGTACCCACATGCGCCGTGTTGTGATGCCCTAACCTCACGCCCGGCGCGCCTTCCTGATCGGAGTGGGATGTGGGCCTGGAAGTGCCAAGAGGGGGTGGAGTCCCAGGTCGGAACTGAGATCTCCAGTGCCAAGGTTCAGGGGCATAGATGCAATAGAGCAATGGGAAAATTTACGGGCGCGGACTTGCACGCCGGTTGTGCGGGGCCGTCCGATCCTGACGCGATCACCAGTTCTGGGGAGCCTGTCGAGGCGGTCCTTGGGGCCTACGCCTTCGGGGCCCGCCACGTGGCGTGGGCTGGTGGGAACTATGCCGAGGTGCCGAGGCTTCAGGGGTTCGGGTATGGGCACGTCGCCTGCAGCTTCTGCACGGGGTGAAGGGCCAATAAGGTGCTATGGAATTCCACGGTACTACTGTAAGCTGATGATAGGGGAGGAGGAGGTGGTATGGTGGGAAATTAGTGGCGATAAGGACGAAGTCGAGGGTTATGAAGTACAGCGTGTTGTACGTGTTTGGGTAGTCGGGTCCCCGCGGGTCGCTTCGTACAGCGAGATGGAATTCCCTAGTGCAGAATCTATCGTTTTCGGTGAGGCAGGGGAACACCGGGCTCCTCAAACTTCCTCGTAATCGGAGTTGCTCTTCTTCCCAGATTTCCCGGTACCCAAAATACGACTCATAATCCTCGGAATTCCAAGATACGTCGGAACTCTGCGAGCTCGTCATTCTTTCATCACTCACGCCTTGGGGGATAAGTTAATCGGGGAGATCACCGCTCGTAAGTGCGTAAGAGAGATGCGAACAAGTCACACTTACGCGCATTTACGCGTGATGGGTAACCCGATCCCGATTGACATCAACTCCTACTTCAGCGAGGGGCTGGCTACGCTCGTTAGCCAAGACGCGATTGGCAAGTCCGAGTGGTATGGACACATGTAAGCCTCGCTCCGTCCGGATCGCACTTGCATGTGCCCATATGGTACGTCGGATGGTGCGCTCCAGACTCCCCGTAAGGTACGACAAGCCAACACACTCTGTTGATCACGCCAACATGCAATCCCTATTTTCATTCATCATGTACGAGGGTTCACAGGAAACGATAAAAAACGAAAGGCGAGGGTGCGCGAACCATCCATACATCATTCGCAAAAGAGGATTCCGGAGAAGGAAAGAAAAAGGAGAAAACATCAATGAAGAACCAAATCGAACAACTAGACGAGTATATGGCCGCAAAGACAAGGGCGAATTGCCCGTAATCGACACCAAAATTTATATGCACAGATAACAAAGGGAACGAAAAGAAAAGCGCAAATCCATGTCCATCCTCAACCTCAACTCTCTCTCCTCTTTCTCTTTCTCTGTCTGATGCCGACAGGCCGTCGTCGCGCATCAACACATGAAGCCGTCACCCCGCTTGGTCCTCCTGCGCCCGTCAGGTTCGCTCCGCACCCACAGTCCGTCGTGGCCCGCGTCAACCCTGCGCATTCGGCACCAGCTCGTCGGGTCGCCCGACTCCCGCTTCACTCACCTCTTACTTCGCTCGTGAGCCGACCCTCTCGATCGCGCAACCCCGAGCTTCCAGCAACTGTTAAGAGAGCAAGTTAATCGCGCAGCCGGAATTTATAGYGTGCATGCATGCGCGAAGAACACGGAATTACAAGGACGTAGATAGATGGGGGAAAGGGAGTGCTTACGTTTGCGTGGTCGGGCCGCGGCGTGGGGGACGTACCCAACTCCACGCATCGATCCGAACATGCGAACGCGGCTACCCAGATAGGGAGGGGMGAGAGGAAGAAACGAGGCGGGAAGAATAAGGAGCAAGAAACAGAAAGATACAGTTACAAAAGTGTGCGCCCAAAATTACAGTTGCGAAAGGATTAAGGCGNTAAGGAGCAAGAAACAGAAAGATACAGTTACAAAAGTGTGCGCCCAAAATTACAGTTGCGAAAGGATTAAGGCGCCAATCAATCAAGGTCCTGGCGCAGCAGCAAGAAAGAGCGCGCGAACACGTAAAGCAACGTCCAAGAAAAACAGAAATTCCTAAATTCCTAAATTTCTAGCTAGCCTACCGATATTACGAAAAGGTTCGAAAGGAAAATCAAAATTCCGAAGGCCGTATGGCTCCGACCAAGATTCAAAAAGAAAATTAAAAAGGAAATTCAAAAAGAGACACCGAAATTCCCACGCGATGTCTACGTGCCTAAAAGTCCGACAAACAAAATTAAAAGAAGGGAAACGAAAGAAAAGAAGCAACATCAACGTTTATTAATCGCACAATCGGCGCGCACTCCGCATCCATCCGACCAAGTTTCACCCCCTTTTCCCCGTGCATTACCGAATTGTCCCCAACTGTCATCAGGGGCTCGTGCGAAAACGAAAAAAAACAACGAAGAAACCAAGGACACACATGCAATTTTTCCATGAACCCGTCCAGTCGACGAAGGACCCCGCTTAGCACTTCGCGCCGAAAGTCACGCATTCCAGAAACTAGTTCGTCACGTATGTGACACCCAGGGGGTTACAAAGATAAGCAAGCTCCTGCTTGCTTTCTCACGTGTCGCTCATCTCTGATTGATTGTCCGTGGATGGTTGATCTTTTTGTGCCACATACCGTGCGAACGAGTGTGGAAGTCATGTTGCGCGGCAATCGTGTTCTGGTTGTCGTCACTCGTGGGGAAGAGGGAAAGGAAGACGATAGGCAGGCGAAGGTGTTGGTGGGGGACGGGTCGAGAGAGGGGGGAAGAAGCGTTCCAGCTCATCGTCCGTTTCCGGAAGGCTCCGATGATGGACGATTCTATGGAAGCGGGGAAATCGGCGGCCAGTAGTGGGGAGAGAAGCGAGGTAGTCGGGATAGAGAGTGGTGAAGGTTCTAAGAAGCGCCGCGCGAAAGCGGTCGCGGTCGGCGCATGCGGGGATTAACCTCGTGATAAGGCAATAAACCTCTACGGCGTTGATACGACACCATCAAACGCTGAAAAGAAGTACATGGAGAGGGAACTCAGGGGAAGCACGCCGGGAGAATGAGTGGGGATGGACTGTGACAGAGAGACGGATGGAGAAGTAGTGACGGAAAGTGTCGCGGGGGAAGGGATTGTGGGGGAAGACGGCGGGGCGGGTGAGCTGGTGCAGGGTGAGGAAGTCATGGGGGCGGAGAGAGAGAGCCTGAGGACGAAGACCGATCGGCCTCATCGCGACGTGCTCGAAGTGTTGGACGGGTCGCGAGGGAGAGGGAGGCGGAGGGGGAGCTGCTTCGTCGTCGGCGTCGCGGTGGGGAAGGAGACCGGCGAGCGGACGGCCCAGCCATCTGGGCCACATAGCTGGGGATCCTCGTCGGCGTGCTCTTCGTCGTTGTCGTCACCGCTCCCTTGCTCGCTGTCTTCTTCTTCTGCTTCCTCCTCGCTCTCCGTTTGCAGGAGCTCTTCTTCGTCTCCTTCTCGCTGTTGTGCCGGCTCCCCTTCGTCTTCGTTCAAACTCCCTTCCTCTTCCTCCGAACTTTCTTTTGCGAGCTCCTCGCGGATTATCTCCTCCAATTCATCCTCATACGGCGGTCTGTAGAAAGCGGGATCCACGATGTCGCGCGGATCCAAATAATCCAGTCGTGAAGGAGGAATTCTCGATGGGAAGCCCTCCACACAAGCTGACCACTGAAGATACGGCGACAGTGTGCGCGAGGTGACGTGGGGCACCAAGCGCGGGTCGACTTGGGAGACAATGCTGACGTCAAGATCGTCGGCCAGTTGCGCAATTGGGACCGTAAGCTCCTGGGTGAGAAGCCTCCGACAGCCTGGACGCACTTCCCCGAATAGAAAACCGAGAAGGTCCCCCTCTACTTTCGTCCGCCATGCCTGAATCACAAGGAGCTCCAATCGCTCAGACTGCGGATAATTTCTCTTGTCCCTCGTCCACGTCACCCGTACTTCCGCCAAACACAGTGAGAGTTCGATGAAGTCTCTGTGCCACGCGTCCCACTGGGAGGGATCGAGGAGGGGAACAACCAGAGTATTTATGCAGAAGGAGAGGCGGGGATGAAGATCAGACTGCTAGAAGGTGGGGAAGGAAGAAGGAAGCTCGAAAGTAGAGATCGGGAAGGAGCTCATTGGGGATGGAAGGGGATGAGAGGGGGTAATTGCGTCGGCGGGTCACGCCAATCCAGCTGAAGGCCGTTGTATTCGATTGCTCAGATTGGTGTGATCACATCCCCTTGGTGCGCCGGGAGCTGGGTCCACTCGTTCTGAAGATTGTGGAACCATAGAAGCAACGCCGCCTTGATTCTCGTGTGTCGGCAGGGGGGGATCGCCGTGAGATCTCCACTGAAATTAACCACCAACGTTATCCGACCGACGTCCACAGATGCTCGCTGTCGCAACCCGACAGCTTCGGCCAATATGATCGCGTCAGCCCTCCCGTCGACGTGGATCTCTGCTGCCTCGTAGACGCCCTTCGAGCAGAAGAATTGTGCAAGCCGCTGAAGGTCCGGACTAAGACGAGGATGATGCACCTGCCGCAGTGTCAAATTCCCATGTGCTACCAGCGCTACTTCACTCAGAGCTCTCTCCTCCATAAAGCTCATGGCGACGGCGAGGGTGACAGCGTATCCGACAGGGATTGAGAAGGAGAAGGAGATGCATAGGAGATAGAGTCGTCGTCGGGAGAGGTTGATGGAGAAGGAGACGGAACAGAGGGAAGAAGACGGAGATAGGACACGTGGCGTGTGATCGGGCGAGCCGATCGACTGCCGGAAACCTCGGGAGCGAGGCGCACGGTGTCCACGCCGTTGGGTCCGAGTTCAATCACTCGATACTGTCCGAAGAATCGTGGCGCTAGTTTACCCTGGCGCGCACATTTCCTTACCTGCACGATGTCCCCTAAGTTATACTAGGTCCTGGGACCCGCATTCCCGTTCCGGGCCTGTTGGCCATGGGCCAATTCGGTGAACCGTTGTCGCTTCCGGGCCAGTCTAGGTAGGGACCGCTCCATGAGTTCCAGGTGTCTTTTGGCTTTGTCCCGAGCGGTGGCCCTTGTAGGGCGTCGGTTGAGTCCCGATTCGTCTGGGAGGCTCGGTATCGACACACACGCGACACTATTGGTCCGTAACTGGAAGGGGCTTAGGCCCGTCGATTCGTAGGGCGTTCCGCGATGGACCGCCAAGATGTGGTCGACGATATCAGGCCAGGGTCGGGGGTCACGTGCCGCAATATTCCGCCGCAAGGCCGTCTTTATCACCCTATTCTCGTTTTCCACTAATCCGTTAGACTGAGACATGTGCGGGGCCGTGTGTCGTATGGAGACGCCGTGTATGACCAGGTTCCTCTCGACTTCTCCTCTAAATTCGACCCCATTGTCGGTCAGGATCTCTTCAGTGTCCTGGTGCATGCCTAGAAAACGGTTGACGTACTGTGCGATTTCCACGGCTTGTCGTGTCTTGCAGGGGTAGGCCTCGATCCACTTAGAGAAGTGGTCGACGAAAACCAGCAGAATTGAATAGTCGCAACTATTCGGTCCTGGGGGCACCACTATATCAGTAGTATTCATACTAACCCTCTGAAACGGCCGTTCAACCACAGTTGGGACTATCGACCTAGGCGGTTGGGTTGGGGTCTTGTTAGCAGCGCAGACCTGGCAGTGTTGGACGATGAATTTAACGTCGTCCCAGATATTGGACCAGTACCATTGATTTCTGTCTATCGCAGCTTCGATAATACGCACGGCAAAATGCGCCGCCGTCTCCTCGTGGGCTGTTCGTACCCAGTCGTACCGCATAAACGGGTGCGGAACTACTAACCATGCCCCACTGCCGTCTGTTTTACGCTTTTCTAACCGCTCGTCCACCCATCGGTAATCCCGTGCTCTTTCATTGGCCCTCCTCCGATCCTCCTTGGAGAAGGTTTCGAGGGAGTTCCCTACCACAGTGGCTATCAAGGCGACATCTGTCCAGACTTCCGCTCTTCTGAATTTCTGAATTTTGTCAGGGCCTTCCGACGTGGCATCGAGGAATCGGGCTTCCGTCGGAATCTTGTCAGTACGACATAAGGGGCAGAACCAGGGTCTATCATTACTCCGATACTGTATGCACGCACCATGAGCACGTGGGACACATTTCCGACAGTCTACCCATTCAACATATCCCCTCCCTTTAGGACACATGTGGACGGAATAGACTCAAGAGATTGCCTCGCAGAAATAACACAATTTGTCAGGAAGAGAGGCGAAAGAAGAGGATGGGGAAGAAAGAGATGGAATTTGGACCTTACCTTCGTCACCCATTTCCCTTCACCGGCTTCCTGCCACGTGGGATAACCACAACTTCTCCGTACTTTGGACCGTTATTGATGTCCGGGTCCTTTCACGGTGTGATTTCTTCCGCCTTTGGTACTTTACCGGGTCGGTGCAAACGTGTCAGTCCGTCGGCGTTGCCGTGTCTCTCCGTTTTTCGATGAACAATGTCAAACTCATACTCTTGCAACCGCACTGCCCATCGTCCGATCATGCCCGTGTAGTTGGTTAGCTTTTTTAGAGCCAACAGAGGTTCATGGTCGGTGATGAGCAGAAACTTTCTTCCGTACAAATACGGGTGGAAGTGTTGGATACCCCACACTACCGCATAGCATTCTCCTTGTGGCGCGAAATCGTTTCGTCGCTCGTCTGGCACCGTCCGGGAATCGTACTCAATGACATGCTCCTTCCTATTGTTTCCCTTCTCTGCCAGAATGGCCAAGATAGCCTCCTGCTGCCAGTCGGTGATGAGAATAAACTGCCGAGAGGGGTCCGGTCGAATCAGAATCGGGGCCGTGACGAGAGCATCCTTCAGGGCCCCGAAGACCTGGTGGCACTCGTCATCCCAATGAAGGGGCTGTTCCTTTCGCATCAGGTTTGTCAGAGGCCTTGCTATAGCCGCGAACCCCTTGATGAACCGCCGGTAATACGAGGCCAGGCCCAAGAAGGCTCGAACCTGCGTCAGTGAGGTCGGAACCGGGGCCTCTTTGACCGCTGCGACTTTTTGAGAGTCCGGCCGCAGGCCTCCTCGTGTCACCACATACCCCAAGAACGAGATTTTCGGGAGGAAGAACTCGCTCTTTTCCAGCGCAATCTTGAAATCTGCGTCTCTCAACGCACCCAACGTCCATTGGATGTGCTGCGTGTGTCCGTGAAACGTGTCCGAGTATACCAGAATGTCATCCATGTACACGATGACGCAGAAGTTAATCATCCCCTGAGTCAGCCGTGTCTTATTGACAAAATTATGAAAAGTCACGTTCATCGCCTTCTAAAACGTGGCAGGCGCATTGCAGATTCCCATCGGGCACCGAACCCACTGTCACGTACCTTCAAACAAAATGAAGGCGGTCTTGGGCCGATCTTCTTCCTTCACCAAGATATGATGAAACCCATGCCGAATGTCGAACTTGTTGAAGTAGTTGGCACACCCGATCGCATCAAGCAGATCATCAATCCGGGGAAGGGGATACACATCTTTAATCGTGATATCATTTAGCTTTCGATAATCGATGCATATGCGGACTGACCCGTTCTTTTTAGTAACCAATACAACTGGGAACGACCAGGGACCGGTGGCAGGCTCAATCCATCCGTTTGCCTCAAATTCCCTGATTCGCTGCAAGGCCGTCTTGCGTTCTGCCAACGAGTATTGGTATGGCTTGCAGTGGATTGAGGAATGATTCCCAGTCTGAATCTCATGCTGAACGACCACAGATAACCCAATATCGGCATCGGACACGCTAATCGCCCCTTGATATTCTATTAAAATATCAGCGATCAGCCGATGGATCTCATCAGGTACATAATGGGGCACATGCAATTCATACATTTGATCCAAGATCCGAACGTTAACCTGCTTCGTGTGTATACGCCGAGTAGTGTCAGGCGGTGCGGATATAAAAGAGTGATCCGATCTCCAAG